GTCAGAGCCTGAAATTTAGTCAGCAACCTCGCCCTTGGTTTGGTCAGCAACCTCGCCCTCCCACGTAGAAAGCACAAAAGGCACAGAAAGCGAACCACAAGACAACACAACACAACACAGCACACAAACAAGCAGAACAAGCACAAACAAGTACCGGACGGAACATAAAAACACACACACACACAAAAAACACAAAACCCCACACACACGCACACAACAATGACTAAATTATGGCTTTGACTTTGCACACCTAACCCTTTGCTTCCGCCGATCCCTGCTCACCAGACATGATCGCGTCGAAACAAAAATCAGGACGACGGGAGGTTTTTGGCGATTTTCGGCCCTGGGGGGGGCCTCGCTGGGCCTCGGGACCGTCAAACAACGACTCAGGACGGCAAAAACTGGTCCCAGGGAAAGGGTCGGGACTTCCAGGGGTAAGTCGGGCCTGTCCCTCTACAGGGGGAATATTAAAAGACGGCCAACAAATAGTCTGGGGATGATTTCTTGAGTCTTTTTGTGCATCTTCTGAATATTTTTTGAATTTTTTTGTTCGTCCAAAATCCCCTTGAAGGGGACAGGCCCGACTTACTTCCAGGGACGCCGCCCTGAGAAAAGCAGGGCGTCGCATGTCTGGGCCTGCCTCCGCCGAGCCTTGCCGCGGCCCCATGCTGGCCGTGGCGAGCCCCCCGGCGGAGCGGGCCGCCCTCTGCCGCGGGGGCGGCCCTGCCGAGAGTCCCTTCGGGGCGAGGCGCCGGGCCTGCTTTTGCGGCTCGGCGCCGCGCGCCAGCAAGCAGTGGCGAAGCGTCCTGGCTCGCCTGTAGCCCTACCAATCACTGTTCTAAGAGCCTTTGGTGGTTCCCACGAGGTGTTCTTGGAGCATTTCTGGCGGAGTCTGTCTTGTTTCATCACATCGGGTTTATGTTCTAAGAACCTTGTTTTTGTTATTTGAACATTTTTTGGGTTCTAAGAACATTTCGTGGTAGGACTATAGGAATGCCGGGACGGTCGGTCCCTGCTCAAGAAGTGCCCCTGGCCCAAGGTACCCCCAGGATTCTCGGGGTGGCCCAGTAGACCTCCAGGCCACCCCTCACAAGGCCCAGAGGACCCCAGGGGCTCCAGAATGGAGCGAAAAGCTGGGGACACCTTGGGCCAGTGGCACTTCTAGCAACACCCGACAGGTGTGGGCTGGCGCTCCAGGCACGGCTCGTGGGCCGGACAGGTGGAGCCTTGCCGCGTACGTCATGGGCCCGAAGCTGGAAAAGAGTATCGCGCGCTGTGGAGTCGGGGTCAGGAGGGGCTGATCGGCACGAGCACAATTGGACGCTGATGTCCATGAAAATCTTGGGAACTACGGGAAATAGATCGAAGAAGAAAAAGCGTCATCAACATATTTTTTTTGGCGCTCCGCGCGGATTTCTTGGATCCGCGCTGGCCCCCCCCGGCGGCGCCTCCGGCGCCGCCCCAATCCAAGAAATCCGTGCGGGCCTTCCAATGTTTGTGTTCATGCAGTCTTGTCCTTGTAGAGGGGAGGAGGAGCCTCCAGGAACCATGGGCACCGTCTCCCCTTTGGCCCTCTGCAGGGAGATGGCGCGGCCTGGCCGCCGCGGGCTTGCCGTGGAGGAGAGAGGAGGGCCCGAGGGAGGCGGGCAGGTTGCTGGCAGGATCGGGGGCTGGGGCGGAGAGGATCCCAGTCGGCGGCGAGCGCAGGTTGCGGGCAAGACTTTTGTGACCACATCCACTGCAGCTTGGAGTTTCGGGCTCCCCTCCCCAGAAACCCGAGGCGCACTGGATATGGATAACGATTCGGCCCCATAGAGGCTCGCTTTTCCGACATATTCAGTGCTCCTCGGCCTTGTGGAGGGTCTTGCCGGGTAGGAACTCGGGTAGACGGAGAGGATCCCAGTCGGCGGCGAGCCCAGGGGGGAGGTGAGCAGGCTTGTTCAGAAGGCGGCAGGGCATCCCCCCCGAATTTCTGAGAAGCCACCTCTGCCTTCGGAGAAGGCTCAGAAGCCGGAGGCCTACAGAGCCTTCTGAGAAGGCCTGCCCCCGTGCCATCGCTCGGACGTCAATCCCATGTGTACTGTTCGACTTGGTGCGCTTGGCACCGCTCGGACGTGTCCACTGTCTCTCGGCGAGGACCATCGGAGGGCATCTAAGTGGGATCCCCTTGCGGAGAAGAGGCGCACGAAGTCGAGCAGTGCGCGGGGAACGGACGTCCGAGCTATGGCAAGGGGGCGGGCCTTCTCAGAAGGCCCTGGAGGCCTCCAGCTTCGAAGCCTTCTCCGAAGGCAGAGGTGGCTTCTTGGAAGGTCGGGGGATAGCCCCGCCGCCTTCTTAGCAGGCCTGCTCACCTCCCCCCTGGGCTCGTCGCCAACCCAGGTCTCCGACGATGTGCTCTTTCCAGTCTCGGCACCTCTTCCTCGTGCTCGGGCTTATCCGGCCTGGGTCCATCCAATCCTGGTCCGAGACGACAAGCTGCCCCCAGGGAAAGCGGTCGGGTCACGTGGGTCCGCGGATGCAAGAGCCAGAGTCGGCGGACGTCAGGGACTGGGACGAAGACCAGCAGCAGCTGCTGCCCACTTTGGGCAGGACTCGCTGTCGGCGTCCCTGCGGCCGTTGCCCATCCGAGACATCGGTGGCACCCCAACATACTAATACTATGTGTGCGTGGCCCCCCCAGGGGCGACGTGCGCACCGATAAATCTTATAGCATCTGCGTCGTGGCGCATGCTTTCTGGCCACACCGCTCGGGAAGCGATATACTACGACATTGGTATACTGTATGTTCGGTTCGTTACTAGCACTGTTGAGAGAGTATCTAGTACGAGAACATCTAGTACTCCAACGATAATGTCTATGTCTCCGTGCGTCCCAAGACAAGGAGTCGCCCGTCCCACAGCGGCCGCTTTCCGTTCTGGAGAACGTTTACTTCTGGGTATCCGGCGTCTTTTTCCGGATCCGCCTCGGGAGGAGGAGGAGGAGGAGGAGGAGGAGGAGGAGGAGGAGGAGGAGGAGGAGGAGGAGGAGGAGGAGGAGGAGGAGGAGGAGGAGGTGGGGAGGAGGAGGAGGAGGAGGAGGAGGAGGAGGAGGAGGAGGAGGAGGAGGAGGAGGAGGAGGAGGAGGAGGAGGAGGGAGGAGGAGGAAGGAGGAGGAGGAGGAAGGAGGAGGAGGAGGAGGGAGGAGAGGCAGGAGAGGAAGGAGAGGAGGAGGAGGAGGAGGAGGATGGGGCCCCAGCACCTTCCCGAGGGCCACTCTGTTACATCCCGGGCTGCCTGCTGGCGGCCCCGGGGCTCGTGGAGGGCCCGGCGGCGGAGAGGGGGCTTCCAGGACTCCTCGCCTCCACGACGGGAGGGGGGGCATGGCCTGGTCGCTGCCATGGTCCTCCTCCTCCTCCTCCTCCTCCTCCTCTCCTTCTCCTCCTCCTCCCCTCCTTCCTCCTCCTCCTCCTCCTCCTCCTCCTCCTCCTTCCTCCTCCTCCTCCTCCTCCTCCTCCTCCTTTCCTCCTCCTCCTCCTCCTTGATCTTTGGAGGGGGGGTACGTGCTCCAGATCTCGTAAGAGCGGGGTGGGGTGTCACAGCCCTCCCAGACGAGAAGCTGTAGACGCCCCAGACCACGCACGAAAGGGCGGCCCTTCGCCCAGACCCCCCCAAAAACTCCAAGACAGTTCAAATCGGACGCCCCCCAAATGTGACCCCCCCCTTCATTACGGAGTCCGGAGTACTCAGAAAGGAGGGACTTACGACAATTGCCACGTGCAGCTGCTTTCTGCCCCGCCGCCGCGCGGGCGCTGTCCTCGATGCATGGCTGCCTCCGGTGCTGGGAGGCGCCGGGAAGGCCAGCTGCACGCAGCCGATTCCCTACCCCTCCCTTTGCTGCCCCCCTCTCGGCCTCCCCGATGGTCGCTGGGAGGGGAAGGGGGGAGGGGGACACGAGCTGGTCGCTGGGAGGGGGAGGGGGGTCACTACTACCTGGAAGTCGCTTGTTTCTTTCGCGGGTACACCGGTGCAGCAGCCGCCTCAGTCCCCGCCAGCGGGGCCGGCCGCGCCAGCTCACCCAGGGAAGTGATCCGTCCTCCCTGAGTGGCCCTCGCCCTTCCTCCCCCTTCGCGGCCGCCTGCTCTGTCCTGTGTTCCCTCCCTTGCATGCTGGCCAATTCGCTGCAGCGGTGCTCCCGTTTCGTTAGTTCTATCCCTCAGCGCAGACGACCCCTGCCTAGCCGCCGACGAAAAAGTTGCTTCAGCGAGCGATCGCGATACCGCTATACCTGGACCGCAGCACAGGCTGCGGCCGCCCGCGGCCCACGGGTGTAGCACGGTGCGCCCTGTAGGATCCCGCCCTGCGGCTTCGAGCCCGCGTCCGGGCGGCGAGCGGACGTCTGGCTGCTCGTATGCGTGACGAGCGGGCCTTTGCGGGGGATCGGCGGCGGGCGAGGGGGGGACGTGAGAAGGCAAATGCTGTCTCAGAAGACTCGGGCAGCGCGCATGAGGCCGTATCCCAAAATGAGAACCATGGGGACAGATGGTAGCCAGGTAGAGAGGGAAGAAGGATGAGGATCGAGGATCCAGGAGGATCGGGAATCGAGGACGATCGATGACTGAGGTGGATCGAGGAACGAGGAGGATGGAAGACCCAGGAGGATTGATGATCGGGTTTCCAGTCCGTGCCAAGAGGGAGCAGCCAGGTCGCTGGAATGGGGCAGGAGGTAGTCAGGGAGGGAGGAATGGAGGATCGATGATCGCTGTTTTCGGACGTTCTTGTGTTAGCCCCAATTGGTCGACGCTTGATCTGACGATGGCGGAGATGCTGGTGGTGGTGATGATGACGACGATGGTGGGGCTGGCGCTGCGGATGATGAAGCAGCTTCTCCTTCCTCCTCCCTCTGCCTCCACCTTCCCCTCCTCCTCCTCCTCCTCCTCCTTCTTCGTTCCTCCCTCCCTGTTGACCCTCCTTCGTCCCTCCCTCCCTCTTGACCGCCTCCTCCTCGCCTGCCGGGTGCGACAGGCTCGCGAGGCCCAGCCGGAGGAGGAGGAGAAGGCGGGGCTGCGCCTGGGCCCAGCGCCGCGCCAGGACGCGGTGCCGTTCAGAGGGGAGGAAGGAGCAGGATGAGGACGATGTTGCTGTTGATGAGGATGACGATCACGACGACGACGACGACGACGACGACGACGACGACGACGACGACGACGACGACGACGACGACGACGACGACGACGATGATGATGATGATGATGATGATGATGATGATGATGATGAAGATGATGATGAGGATGATGATGATGATGATGCTGCTGCTGATGATGATGATGATGACGATGCTGCTGATGACGATGATGATGACGGTGAGGGTGATGCTGATGAACATGATGATCCTGATGCTGATGGTGAGGATGCTGCTGCTGCTGATGATTATGATGATAATGATGCTGATGTTGCTCATGATGATGCTGCTGCTGTTGATGATGATGATGATGATGCTGATGATGATGATGATGCCGGTGAGGGTGACGATGATAAAGATGATGATGCTGCTGATGATGATGATGCTGATGAGGATGATGATGATGATGATGATGATGCTGATGCTGATGCTGATGATCATGCTGATGCTGATGTTGATGATGATGCTGATGATGGCTGATGATGATGATGATGATGATGATGATGATGATGATGATGATGATGATGATGATGATGATGATGATGATGATGATGACGATGATGAATACGATGAATATGATGATGTTGCTGGCGATGATGCTGCTGATGATGCTGATGCTGCTGGTGCTCCCCCCCGGGTATCCGGGTGGGACCCCCCCCCGGGGGAGGGGATACGACGTTGCTCAGATTGGCTTCCCTCCCGTGTCGCAGTCGCTCCCTTCGTTCGGGGGGAGCAGATTGGCTTCCCCCCCCGGTCGCGGCCGCTCCCCTCGCCCGGGGGGAGTCGACCACTCCCCCTCTTGGAACCGACGTGACGATCTCGTGGGCAGCTCCCCTCCCCCGAGGGGAGCCGACCACCCTCTTGGAGCCGACGTGACGATCTCGTGGGCAGTGTGGGCGACGACGACGACGACGACGACCCACGCAAGATGACGAGATCAGGATACGTCTTCCACACGCCGACAGGGTCGGCGGATGTAAAGTAATAGAAACACATATCTATATGTATGTATATATATACATAAACAAACTTATCCCCTATTTCCCCCCCCCTCTCTATCTCTATGTACATAAGACGCCCTCGGCGAATCACCGCCGCCCCCCGCCTTTTCCAAACGCCCATGCGGCCAAACGTTGGGCCGAAGTCTTGGCAAGCTGTTGGATTATGTGCTCCCCCAGCAATTGTGGATCTCCTTGGGGGAACACTGGGGAGAGGACGAGAAAGGAGGAGGAGAGGGAGGAAAAGGATGGGAAGGAAGAAGACGAGGCCTCTTGAGACCCTCTTGAGTTCTCCTGGGGGTTTCGTGGGAGCCTTTCGGGGGGCTCTAAGGGGCCTATTGGGAACCTCCTGGGGCCTCTTGGGTTCTCCTGGGGCCTCTTTGGGACCTCTCAGGAGCCCCTCGGGGCCTCTATGGGACCTCTTGGCCTTCGGAGGCCGTCTTGGGTCCCGCTTTAAGGCCGTCTTGGACCGTCTATAGGTGCCGTCTTGCGGGCCTCTTTGGGGCCTCTTGGGCCGTCTTGGGGCGATCTTGGGGGCTTACGGTTGTGCAAGTCGATAAGTGGAGAGGAAGCGTGTTGCCAAATAATTTCCAGATGTCTAAAACATGCTTGAACCATTTTTACAACATGCTTGACACATTTTGAACGCATCTTCAAATCAATGATCGGACTGTTCGAGTGTCCATTGTCATGGCATCCACAACGGACGCCAGAAAAGGCGAGAAGGCTAAAATCATTGAGCAACGCAAGGAACATCAAAGATTCTGGCCTCCGGGCGATCCTCCTGGAGCCCTCTCGGGGCGTCCGAGGGGCCTCTGGGCCTTCAGAGGCTGTCTTTGGCCCTCCCTGGGCAGTCGTGGGTCATTCTTCGGGTGCTTTAGGGCCGTCTTGTAGGGCAGCCGCCCCTGCTTTCCAGTATCGTTCAACCGACTCCTATCCCCATGCCCATCCACACCCAGACCCCCACCATCTCAGCACCCCAGGTGGGGATATACCCTCCGAAGCCCGAAAAGAACGGCCTATATCCCCATCGAGGGGGCGTGCATCGGCCACTGGGGCCCAGGCCATGTTCATGGGGATAGGTGTCGGTTAAACGATTGTTTTTTGTTTTGAAGATGCGGGGCGTGAGCCTCGAGCTTTGTGGGCGCTTTTGGCTTCCCCGGGACCTCCCCGGGCCCCTGGGCCTACAACAACTGCTCTCGGTGAGCACCTGTCCCAGGGGGAAATCCCGCGGTCCCAGGACCCCTTTCCTTTTCAGGCCCTGTCGGCGCCCCATCCCTTCATGTCGTGCGAACTCCCCCTCCTCCCGCCTCCCCTCGTGTGCTTTTGGCCCCCCCCCCGTGCCAGGCGGGAGCGACGTCGTTGCCACCCGTAGATTCCCGTGGCATCCTTTGCCTCTCGCCCCTCCTCCTCTTGCTGTTGACCTCCTCCATTCCCCTTCTCCCTCGTCCTTCCTCCCTCGCGCCTCCCTCCTCCTCCCCCGCCCCTCGCTCACCAACTCCAACCAGGAGGGTCACAAAAACGCAGACACAAGGAATCGTCGACTCCAGGGAAAGAGTGTGGGGGGGGGAAGACGCGCATCGAGAAGACGCGAGAACGTGTGGGCCATCCTGGGACCTGTGCGTATCTCTCTGTGTGCCCCTGGGCCCCTGCGTTCAGGCAGCTCGGGCCCCCCCCCCCGCCTGCCCCGCTGCCCTGCCCTCGCGCCCACGGCCGGCGGCCGTGCCTCGGCCGCCCCTCTGCCGCCCCCCCGCCGCTCCTCCCCCCCCGGGCGCCGCAGGAGCGCGACTCGCCCCTCCCTCCCGCGCCCGGGCCGGCGCCGCAGCCTCCGGCGC